GTGCAGAGCGTGGAGACGCTGAACGGCAGTACTGCACACTGTGCAGCAGGTCCCGACTCGGAAAAAAATTGGCCCGGGCATTTTTAAATCACAGCGGCCGACTAAAAAAGGAACCTGCTTGCGGGATTGTGTGTAAAGTGAGCTGATAGTGGTGTGATATTGTGTAAATAGGTTAGTTTCAGTTGGGTTGTGTTTGTGGCAGGTCCAGACTGGGAACTAAAAGCAGCCCTGGAAAAAAATTATTTACCAGCCCAAATTTGCGTCGCGCCAGCATAGTGTGCAGATACAGAGTTAGAAAAGATAACTTAAAATTTAAAATTCTTACTCCAAAGCGTTCATAGGCTTCAAAATAAACAAAAGTGCAGATTTATTTTAAGCAGACGTGCCTTTGCATGTAATCAATGTTTCAGTCCAACTACCTCGACATATCAAGGAAAGTTTGGTCATGGGACTGAAATGGTGAATGTATGTAGGGCACAACTGTAAAAAAAATGACGTTATCTGGTTTATTTTGAAGTCCTGTGGGTGCGCTCTTCACTTTAAATATGATATTGTGCTGGAGTATGCACCTAGTAACAAGACTGGGCCAATATCTGCTAATTACATATGGTACATATTAATGACATTTCTCTGTGTATTATTCATATATAAATGTACATTAATATATGTGTAAATATATTTGGCATAATTATAAATATAACTAATACACACATTAATATACATGTCATATGTATGTGTGTGTCTCTTTCTATCTCAAGCCCCTCTGTGTGCCTCTTTGTCTCCCCCCAGTCCCTCTGTATGTTTCTTTCTCCCCCTCACTGCTCCTCTGTGTCCATGTCTCCTCTCTCCTTCCCAGTCTCTCTCTTCCCACTCTGTCTCTTTTTCCCCCTCCCCTGTGTCTCTCTTCCCCCTCTTTATTTCTCCCCCTCCCCTGTGTGTCTCTCTCCCCCTCTGTCTCTTTCTCCACATTGTCCCTGTGTCTCTCCCTCTGTGTCTCTCTCTTCCCCTCTGTCTCTTACTCCCCCCCTTTCCCTATGTCTTTCTCTCCCCCCTTTCCCTATGTCTCTCTCCCCCACATCTCTCACACCCCTCTGTCCCTTTCTCCCCTCCACATCTCTATTTTTTCTCCCCCTGTGTCTCACTCTTCCCCCTCTGTCTCTTTCTCCCTCCTCTCCCTGTGTCACTCTCTCCCCCTCTGTCTCTTTCCTTTCCCTCCCGTGTCTTTCGTTCCCCTCCCCTGTGTCTCTCTTTTCTCCCACTGTCTCTTTCTTCCATCTTCCCTTGTATCTCTCTATTCCCCCTCTCTGTCTCTTTCCTCTCCTCCTCTTGTGTCTCCCTATTCCCTTTCTTTCTCTTTCTTCCCCCTCCCATTTACCAAAAGATGTCAGAGGGGGCTGGCCGCATTCCACGCTAGTGCCACCAGGCTGGGTGGCCATCTAGCCGGTCCAGTGGCACACTCACTAATGCTGTCAGCATAGAAAGGACTCAAGGAGGGAGCATGTCTCTCTATCATGCTCCCTCGCGGTTCCCACAATTCCCAGCACAGCCACATCATACTGTGTGTGACTGCCTTCCTCTGTGTGTGTGGATGTCTTCCTGTGTGTGTGGATGGCCGCCTGCCTGTGTGTATGTGTGTGGCTGTCTGTGTGTGTGTGGCTGACTGCCTGTGTGTGGGGCTGTCTGTGTGTGTGTGTGACTGTCTGCGTGTAAGTATGTGTGTGTAAGACTGTATATGTGTGTGTGTGTGTGTGTGTGTGTAAAACTGTGTGTGGCTGTCTGCCTGTGTGTGTGTATGTGTGTGTGTGGCTGTCTGCCTGTAACTGTGTATGTGTGTTAATGCCTGTACCTGTGTGTTTCTGCCTGATCCTGTGTATGTGACTAGCTGCCTGCGACCATGTGCATGTGGTGGATTTGACAGTGTATATGTATAAATGTGTGCATCTGACTGTGGGAATGTGTGCACATAACTCTGCAAAAATATACACCTTCATTCACACACAGGCCTAAATGCATGTTTTTATCTGAATTAAATAACCATCACACACAGCCAATAAACCCAGCACAAATATCACATACAACCAATACACGCATGTCACACACTGTTAATACACCCATTACAAATATCACACACAGCTAAGACATAGCATACATATCACACACAGTCATCACATCTATCACATACACAGACAACAGAAACATTACATCATACATAGATGACGGGGCGGGGGGGCGCTGTGAAGGTTTTTCGCCAAGGCGTCTAAAGGCCTAAGGCATACCATACTTCTGAAATCCTTTGGACATCTTTTTCCAACTCTGTCATTGCAACCCAGATTGTCTCTATTTAAAGGGTTACTACAGACCCCTGAAGCACTTCAGTTTGTTGAAGTGCTTTATGTGTAAAAAGTGTGTCCTCATATTTTTATTTTTTTATGTATAGATTTCAATAGAAATTAATTTTTTTATAAATGACCCTTGTTACACTCCCCTGACTGTCAACCAGACACCAGGTCCTGTTACTTCCTGGTTTGGTTAAATCAGTGGCGTTAAACACAAGAGGCAGCAATTGCTCAGAGCACCTGCCTTGCAAAGACTTCTCATTATGCTGCATTGGGAAGTCTGTGATTGGACAGCCACAGACAGCCTGGAAGGGGGTTAGAAGGGGAGGGTTTGCAAAGGCTGCAGACAAGAGATCTGCAGCTTGTACACACTGTTTTAAGATACACACTCAAATAAAAAAATGCATAATTAAATGCCTTAGAACAAACAGATGAAAGAAACCTGACAGATTTAATGAATAATTGGATAAATCTCTCCCCTGGTTTGGAGATATGAAGGAAGTCTCAGATAATGAATACGAAATAAAGAGTAGGAGTACAGAACAAGAGCACAAAGAACTGAAAAGTAAAAAACAGTAATAAAATGATATTTTGTGTCTACAATGTACACATTCTTTTACTCTGTAATTCTCTTATAACTGATTTTGGTTTTAGTTATTGATTCGTATTATTATTAGTATTTACAAAGTACTGCCATATTGTGCAGGGATTCACAATTCAATATATTATGCTTGGTTTTTGTTTGTTTGTTTTTTAGATATTTATTCATGTTTCATTTCCCTTTCTTTCTCTGTAAATAATAAAACCACAATAAGCTACTTATAAGAAAAAGAGAATGAGAGAGAAAGTAAAAAAAAAATAAGCAAATAGTTTGGGTTAAAATAAGAAAAAAGATCAAAGCATTGGATTATTCTGCCAGTATAATATTGTTTTTTCTGATTACTGCAGCAACCAGTAGATAAACGAAGTCATTTACCACATCGATTATTCATTTAATATGTATCATTCTTTTATGTCGAGAAATATCTATGGTTGAAACATTTTTTAGGGCAAATTAAGTCACTGGCTGTGAATTGAGCCTCTAGGAAGATAATTGTTTTTTTGTACAATGGAAGTAAAGCATTTAAGATACGTCTTGTTTATCCTTCATTTATGAACAGATGCAGATGGCTGATTGTGGATTCTCAATGTCACAGAATAATGTACCGTTTGCCTAGGCTGCTATTCCCTGCTTCCGGAATGACAGCACTGTCTTAAAAAAAAACCAAAAAAAAAAACCTGCTAAATATAATTCCCAAGATGTCTGCGATGCTGCGAGCCTGCAACTAACGGGAATACTGCAAACTGCATAAAAACCGTGCTGAAATCTTCTACTCATACACTTTGTGCAACTGTATTAATCGATAAAATGCGGATGGCAGACAGAGGAGGATAAAGAGACTGCGCAAAATGCTAGCAAGTCAGGGCAGCGAAAAATTCGATGTCCTCATCTGACCTGCTTTCTACTCCAGTCATCTTCCCCCAGGAACTCTCTCTCTCTCTCTCTCTCTCTCTCTCTAATCTACATTGATAGAACAATCGCTCGAGAAAAACACTGTGTCCTCACACGACCTGCTTCAGCTATTTTCGTTCAACCAATCACCATCTGTGCTTTTCCTGTAGTTCTTTTTCTCTCTCTCTCTCTGCCTATTTCCGCTGTTTTTTTTCCCTCTCATTATGTCGCTCTCTCTCTTTCTCTCATTTTTATTTTCAGCTTTTCGTTCATTTTAATTGCTTCACTCTATATCCTTTCCTTTCATGTCACCCCCCTGTCTGTCTCTCTGCGGTGTGCCCTTAAATGACCCTCCGGTGCCAATCACAGAGCTGGCGATGAGGAGAGGTGGAATGTAGCATTCTAATGTCACACATTATGCCGCAGATCGGCTGTTTCCTGCCCCTTCATTGTGTGTCTGACATTGTTTGCCTCATGTTTCTCTGCCTTTGTCTCCGATGTACTGTAAGCTCATTGACCTGTCACTGTATACAGTCCCTGACACACAATATAACGCTATGCTTGCTCTGTATACAGGTCAGAACTGTGCTGCTTAAACAAAGGGATGATTCCTCCCAAGTGTCCCTGTTTGTTTAGGGGGGACAGTCCATATTTCAAGTCCAAATACCCTCATCTCTCGTTCTGGGCTGATGCCTAGCTTTTTTTCTTTTTTTTTTTTAAGCTCCGATTTCTGGTGAGTCACAGCAATAAAACTCACAGTAATGTGACCTTAAACTGCAATAAATGTGCTTAGAAATCAGTCAGTGTAATAGGACATGCAGGACATGTTCTTGTTCAGCACAGTGACATCCCAACTCTCCCAAACATTCCGTGAGTCTCCCACATTTTAATTGGGGCTCCCGGACGACCACAGATTCTATGTAAAATCAAGGTAATCTAACTTTTTTTTAGAGCGAGAGTGAGTTCAATGGTTGTGTGTAATGATTAGAAATGAGCATTGGACTCTCCCTCCCTCTTAAAAAAAACAAAAAAACTATTACTGGGATTTTACAGTGCAGCTAAATAAGGGCATTGCAAGCACTATACCATCAGTGAGCGCCTCCCCCTTCACACTTTGTGTGGGAGCACCGCTTGTCACGTGACTACCCTGCGCTCATTCTAACACAGTGTGTCGCAGGACTTGGACTTCAAGGAGCTCCCCTCCTCTGCCATGGTAAAAGAGCCGGGAGGGGGAACCAATCTGTAGGTGTGCAGAGCCAGCACTACCTTCGTCTAGGGCGCCGACTCTATGAGGGAGGCAGCTGACTGCTAGTTGAGAGGGAGTGAGGGAGGTAGAGATATTAAAGGAAGGAAGGGGGGGCATGGGGCAGATAGACATGGATGGAATGGAGAAATGGGGGAGAGACATGGATGGAAGGGAGACATTAGGGAGAGACATGGATGGAAGGGAGACATGGGGGAGAGACATGGATGGAAGGGAGACATGGGGGAGAGACATGGATGGAAGGGAGACATGGGGGAGAGACATGGATGGAAGGGAGTGTGGCAAAATTAGCCATTTAAGGCTATATGCTGTATAGGGTTGCCCAGAGGTTAATTTGTGTATGTATTTAACCCCTTAAGGAACAAATTTCTGGAATAAAAGAGAATCATAACATGTCACACGTCATGTGTCCTTAAGGTGTTAAACCGCAGGTTTTACATCTGTTCGTATGTTAGATGGCATTCGTATGCTGGCGGCACAAAAAGACACCAGCATTAATATAATAGTTTCACGAACTGGGTATTTCAATCCTGTTTGTGAAACGAACAAAGTACCGAATGGGAGACCACACAGAGGGGGTCGTGTGTCTCCCATTAAGAATAGCAACATTGTATCAAGCTGCTTAATGTGTTTTCCGGGTGGCCGCCGTTCGTGTACCGAACATGTGGCGGCGGCCAATTTTGATCCCTCAAGCCCAGCGGCGTTTGGTCGTCAAGTGCCTGGAACTAAAATCGGCTACTTGACGGCACGAACACCACTGGACTTTCATACCGCTCGGGACAATAATTATTTCCGTATTGATATCTCCACAGTCCATTTGTGTATCGCTATGTGTGTTCATATGAAAATGTATTTCGTCCGGCGTTCGGCTAATTGTGCAGGGATCTGAGCAGTATTTCAATAGATGGTACGCTCAGATCCCAGCTATATGCAAAGGTGTCAATCAGTTAAAAGTACCGAACGGTGTGAAAGGTATGGATTTTTATGTGAAAATTTATGATCTGCTGTACTGAGAGATAATCCCATTAACAGTACATCTCTGGGTAATTATCTCTCTAGTACAGCAGTGTATGATGGGAAATCAGCCTGTAAGCTAAATCCCCCATGTAGTCCACTACTGGACAACCCCTGTAATGTGACTTTGGAAACCTTTTACATGTGTAACTGCATAAATACTGTGACCTGTGATTAAAAGTTCAGTTGACTCCCAGCCTATGTGTCGTCTAGTTCTTGGGAGAAGAAAGGGATTATTATAATGCTACCTGGATTATTGTATGCTGTTCCTGTCTACCAGCGGAGATACTGTGGATTACACTACCTCTCCGCTACAATTGGTGGCAAGCGACGGGATTTAAACCGTACAGCAAACCAGTGTTCAGCAGTGACCACACGAACAAAGAGGAGAAGCAGCAGTTAAGCAAGACAAACCATTCGGATAAAACCAGCGTTCAGTAATACGTCAAAATATACGAACGACTGGTGAATGGGACAAACTATGCAGAAACGGACTACACTGAAGGAGTTATTGGAAGCAAGAGGAGAAAGCACAAGAAATAAAACAAAAGTGACCCTTGTGGCAGAACTCATGGAGGGGGACAGAACAACCACTGCAGCGAACCCACAGGAGGCAGAACCCAGTGAATTTACCAAGGAGCTCAAGAGCAGGATAGCTTTTTATGCAGAGCCCCCGCCCAGAGAGACAATGGACAGATTAATGGCGGATGTTCAGGAGTACCTGGTGGTCAAGCACCAAGCCACCCAGCGACCCGGGGAAAGAGCCCCAGCCCCCGCCAATAACGCTACCCCCCCCAGATACAACACACGTCCGCAAATTCGTTGCTAAACCTGCAACCAGCAAGTGCATATTCAGCGAGACTGTCCCTGCAACCGACCCCGGCAAAACTGGAACAATCCAGCTTCCAGCAACCGAGCAGCGGTACACTGTGTCCAATCAGAACCGTATGGATCTCCCACAGTAGCATCCCCCATCAACGAACCTTTGGGGACTTTACACGAAGTCAACCCTGTCCAAGCTGCCTCAGATAATTGGCAAGGACATCAGCAGGAGGTACACATGGAGGGAAAGAAGGTACAAGGATTGCAAGACTCCGGGGCCACCTTAACTTTGGTCCATAACCACCTAGTACCAAAGAATATGTTAACTGGGGACTGTGTGGCAGTGCGAGTAGCAGGGGGAGCGATTTACAAGGTTCCCACTGCCAGGGTACACTTGAATTGGGGAGCGGGGCAAGGAAATGTAGATGTGGGCATCATGCAAGATTTACCCGCTGATGTTATCTTGGGCAACAATTTAGGGGAGCTAACTTCAGCGTTTGTGCACCAACCCACCATGCAAGAAGCCTACCCCGTTGTTACCTGCCAGCAGGCCCGCACCACGGTTCCGTCTTACCCCACTGAGGCTCAGGTAAGCCAGGTTCCCCTGTTCTTCCCTGGGATGCCCCCTGGCATTTGGTAATGAAGTGGCCTTAGATCCCTCCCTGCAAGTATATAAAGACCGTATAAACAAGGATCAGGCAGGCTTAGAGGGGGAAAGATACACCTGGGATAAGGGGCTATTGTACCGGCAGGCAGAAAAGGTAGTCGCCGGGTCTATTCCCCTACCCATTAAACAGTTCATTGTTCCCCATAAGTACCAGTTAGAGTTACTACATATCGCCCATGATATCCCCCTATCTGGGCACTTAAAAGTCAGCCGAACTAAGCATCGGCTGACTCAGAACTTTTTCTGGCCAGGATATCCGACAATACTGTCAGACCTGTGATACCTGCCAGAGGGTAGGGGAATGGGGAGACCGCTACAAAGCCAAGCTCCGTTCTCTACCTATAATTGAGGAACCATTTAGCAGAATAGCGGTAGACATAATAGGGCCCTTAGCGAAGCCTAGTCCCTCCGGCAATAAGTATGTATTGACCGTAGTGGACTACGCCACCTGATACCCAGAGGCGGTGGCTCTGACCAATGTCCATGCCGAGACAATAGTGGATGCCCTTATGAAGATATTCTCAGATAGAGGCACCCAATTCACGGCGCAGGTTACCCAACAACTCTGGAAAGTATGTGGGGTAAAGCCTATCTTAAGGACCAAACTTCTGGAATAAAAGGGAATCATGACATGTCACACATGTCATGTGTCCTTAAGGGGTTAAACTCAGCATACCACCCTCAGTCCAACGGGCTCTGTGAACGGTTTACTGGAACACTTAAACAGATGATCCGGACGTTCATAGACACGTAGACACCCAGAAGGATTGGGAGAGGTTTTTACCCCACTTACTGTTAGCGTATAGGGAAGTCCCCCAGGAGTCCATCGGTTCTCTCCCTTTGAATTGTTATTCGGGAGGAGAGTAAGGGGTCCCCTAGATCTAATCAGAGAACACTGGGAGGGGGAGTAGCAGCTAATGATACCCCCATTGTCCCATATGTGCTAGAGTTTAGGGAACGCTTAGAGGTTCTGACCCAGACCGTGCGCGACAACCTCCAGGCGGCCCAACAACGGCAGCGCAGATGGTACGATAAGGGGACCAGGGACCGCAGCTTTCAGGTTGGGCAGAAGGTATTGATCCTCCGGCCCGCCCCCAAAATGACAAGCTGCAGGCTTCCTGGCAGGGTCCATACAAGGTGGTAGAGCAAATATGTGATACCACCTATGTGATCGGCCCGTGCGCTGGCACAGGGGGCGAACGCATGCTCCATGTGAATATGCTGAAGCCCTACTACGCGCGCACCGAAGAGGTGACCGCGATTTGCGCTTAGATTCTGGATCCACCCCTGCCTGTCACTTCAGGTAGACACCGGGCTCTCGAAATATCGAAAGAGTGAGTGACAGGCGTGGTGAGAAAGTGACACAGCATGCATCCTGTTTGGTCTTTCTTTCAAAGAGATACCAATCAGGACAGGCTCTGTGTCACTCTTTCACCATGTCTGTAAAGCCCACCTACCGAGAGCGTGTGTGTGTGTCTCTCTCGCTATATCTGGGCACACTCTAATACTTTGCAATGACCATGATATAAGTATGTTCTGATTGAGTAGTGGTTTGACTGTGTGGCAGACCACAAGGGTACATAAATAGTGGTCTTTTCTGCCAAAAAAAGGCACAAACCTCATAGCACTCTCCACTGTACAAAAGGGGTAACACCTTCCCACCTCCATATAAATGACTACTTTACTTGCCATTTGGCTAGCATAATATATAAATAGGAAGCAGAGGAGATTTCAGCGGATCTGTCAGATTAAGCTTGGCTCTATAGGGACAGGTTAGAATCTATCCGCTGGGTGAGATAATCTGTATTTCAGTGTAACGATGTAAGTTACATAGCATTCCATCCTACACAGACATGGTCGTGTCCTTAGAATACCTTTGCTGCAGTTCTGTGTGCTTTCTCAGAGAAGCGACACACAGCATCTCCCTAGCATTCCGTTCCAGGCAGCCAGAGATAGCTTTTCTACAATGATAACAAATTGCAGGTGGACATTCCAGACCGGTTGGCAAACTGCACGATGTAATGAGCCATCTACAACATCAATTGTTTCCTTGGGTCACAAAAACAACATTTTTATTTCATACAGACACAAAAAGCTAATGCACACATAAGGATCTCATTAATTCCTGCATTTTTAATGGGCTGTTAAGGGGACAGGCATGAGACAATCTTACTTTGTAATTCTTTAAATTGGTCCTAATGTCTCAAAAGTGCAAATGTTCAGCTGCTGACTGCAAAATGACCCTCGGCCCATGCATTGTTGCACAGCTTGCATGACATTTGAAGGTGGGTCACTCTGTCCCTTGCATACAGAGCAGGGCCCACCATTGCGGCAAGGTAGGAGATTACGTAAGGCAGTGCTCCTCAACCCTCTCCTCAAGGCACATCTAACAGTCCAGGATTTAGGGATAACCAAGTGTTTCTATGGTGTTAAAAAAAAAAAACACCTCAAACACACCCGGGTAAGTCCTAAATCCTGGACTGTTAGGTGTGCCTTGAGGAGATGGTTGAGGAGCACTGACGAAAGGTACTGATCAGCTTATACTGGCTGTAGATACTGCATGCCTTCAATGTTCACAGCACAATGATTGGACACATTGTACATATTGGGGACCCGGAATGGAATCATCTGCTCAGAAGCCCCACATTACTAGATATGTTATTCGTTCTGCAACACGTATTAGGTCATACACCGTAATCCGACCTAATACAGTAAATAGAGAACTAAGTCTAAGATGAGTGAGAGAACAGAGGACATGGGCTCTGAGAATGAGGGCTGGCGCCTCCATCTATTGGATCCAGCAATCCCATCTCTCAATAATCAGCTTTTACAATCAAAAAGAAATTTCCTACAAGGTCTGTGGATTCTTGAGGAAATTGCAGGAGCACAGAACTAAAATTTAGGCCTAAATTAATATTTCTTCTCTTTGTCTAGATACAGAAAGTCCTCAATGTGAAGATGCCATTGGACCGACTGAAAGGAATTATCTAGATAAAGTGCACAGAATGTTCAAGGATGGTGCATGAATAATATTCTTATATATTATGTCCTATTATTTTATTACTTGTGCCCCTTTACAAGATGTGTACAAAGGAAACTTCAAGGATATTTTTTGCTACCGTTTCCGGAGAACATACTAAGTGAAGCCTCCACCAGCCATTCCCATTCATTCATGTAGTAAACCAAGAGGAATTAGCCTGTTGGGCTATCATCTGCTCCCCATCGCTGTGTACCTGGGTCACAAGCCTTCGGGTTGATCCTTCAACATGGCCCACACCCCAGGGACATCAATGCTACATGCTTTCTGAGGGACTTTCCTTGGCACTGCCAGATCCGGGGTCAGCGTGCGGTGGCTTTCATAAAGGCATGGGACTGGCCAAATGATTCAGCCTTGACTTCCTCCTGTTTAACAAACAACCTTGGGACTTGGACTTCCCTTAGGGGACCCATACCAGCAGCTGGAGTGCTGTATATGACTGTACGTGCCATACCATCTTGCAATTTTCGATTGTCATATATAAATGTACATGTTATACCACAACACTACAAATAATTTTTGTCTAAATATGTCACTGCCATACCAGTGCTTGTTACATTTGTGCCTCAATAAAAATGATTAACAAAAAATATATATACACTATATGGACAAAATTATTTGGCTACCTGACCATTACACCAACAGGGACTTTTATGACATCACATTCTAAATACATAGACATTGATATATACTTGGAATCCCCCCTTTACAGCTTTCACTCTTCTGGAAGTCTTTCCACAAGATTTTTGGAGTGTTTCGGTGGACATTTTTTTTTTTCATAATTTGTTTTGATTGCACATGGATGGATAATACAATTTGTACATTACACTGTACATTGAGACATTTATGTTACAAGTAGTACAGGATATATAGATACTCTACATACAGTTACTCGCGTAGACCTTTCACAATATAGAAACAGACAGAGTGATAAACCGCGCCAGAGAGGGTTGTGCAAGTATACTACAATTTTGTGTTAATATAAATATTAATATTTATATACACTTCTATCGAATCAATGTACACTGGTGTCTTTTGGCTTTTAATAACCTCAAAAGAAAAAAAGAGGAACAACCAATTGTGCAAAATGTAACAATAGATACAATATTTCTATAAAGTGTATAGAGGGCCAACTCACACTTTATTGAGCTGCTAAGAGCTCTGCTGTTATTCGCCTGGACGGTACAATCCCCGTCTACGGATATATGCAGCTCTTTTGTACTTGTCGTCCAACATATATGGAGAAAATAAAGCAGAGAGAGGTCTTATGGTGAAGTATATCTATAATACTAAATAGGTGATAAAATAAGTTGTATCCTACTTACAATATGCAGAGCAATGGCCTGCTCTGATATGAATAGCCTTGGTGGTATTATCCCCACCTGGAAAATGCATGAAAACCAGGAGATGCGATGACAGAAAAATAATAAAATAATAAAAAATTTACTTTTAAAATGTGAGTGAGACCAATTTGTATTTACACAAACTTTTATTGTGTATACAGAGTTCACTATGCTCTACCATTTTTTGTCTTTTTAGGTATCTACTCATTGATGGCAATAATGTTTGTGTATGTAATTTACACCATTAGTGTGCTCTCACCAGTTTTTATATTTTTAATCAATAGTAACAGAACCTAGACCTGGATCGTTGCCCACCTACACCATCTGGCTGACACGTACTTCATAAGTCATCATTACACTTTTAAAGGACAATTGTCATCAGATTTTCACTTCTCCTTATTTTAAAGGTTATTACATTTAATGAAAGCTAGTGACAATTTGGGCAAATACTTAAGGGTGTGGGAGGGTAAACGGTGGAATATTTAAAGTCCTTGATACAGGTCGAAGACAGGGGTGGCAAATAACATGTTTTAATTGATTTATAAAAAGATCTGCTGGAGGTGGGAAGAGATAGCTAGACGGTGATGTAGGCAGACATTAGTAAGAAGAGAAACAAATAAACAAACTAAGTCTATTTTTTATGTTTTATTAATTGTCTAGAGAGATGCCAACTGATTTAGATGATGTCTGCCCTTGGTCTCTGTGACTTGGGGTTTGATACTCTTATTTCCTCTGCTGTATGACAACGAGAAGCCAAAGTTGCAGTGAAGGACATACCACCTTCACTAATGGTGCAGACCTCTCAAACCATAACCACTACACTAACACTTGTTTCTAGTGCTGAGCACACTGCAGGGTGGCTGACTGTGATGGGCCCAGCTCCCAGCTACCTCGTTCATTCTGTTTTATCACTGATGATTTTACAGGATTCTTCTTTCCACAGCACCCCATTGTACAGGGTGGCCTATAAGTCCCTACCCATCCATATATCTTATGTATCCAGTGTATCTGTGTGCTGGATGGGTAGGGACGCATGGGCCACCCTGTATGTGGACTATTATCGCATTCAGCATTATGTTGTGTTATAATGCCAGATAATATGTGAAAACATATTGTTTGCCTCAGCGTGTGCATATAGACCAGGGGATACCAAAAGATAAATGCCCAGATTTTGTAGGACTACAACTCCCATGATGCTTTGCATATCTTTGGAATGCTTTTAGAATGACAAAGCATCGTGGAAGCTGTCGTTTTAAAACATCTAGAGATCTCCCTTTTTGGGCACCCCTGATATAGACAATTAGCAAAAGATTAAAACATTAAAATATATGATTTTTTTTGTAGAATAGACTTCTCACAAATATTCTTCTGTCGTAACACGCCACCTAGTGGGCATTAAAATTATAACTAAGAATGTGTTTAAATATGATGCAATGAAGCGTCTATTGTGTGAAAATAATGCAATCAAGGGGTTCTAAATACATTATAAACTGGTCCAGTCTCCATAACTCCAAGATCGCATTATTTACCCCTAATACACATTTTATCATTTTATAACTTTTATATTATATAATGTTTTAAAATTAGGATTAGGACTAGGTTTGCACTAGAGTTAATACAGAGTTAGTATTGAGACTAGGTTAGGGATAAAGTTAGTACATAGCTAATATTAAGACTAGGTTATGGCTACAGTTAGTACAAAGTTAGTAACAGGGTTGATGTTCCAGGAGGGATAAGCCAAATGGCAAATGATTTAGGTAAACTAGAAAAATGGTCAGAATTGTGGCAACTGACATTTAATGTGGATAAGTGCAAGATAATGCATCTTGGACGTAAAATCCCAAGGGCAGAGTACAGAATATTTGATAGAGTCCTAACCTCAACATCTGAGGAAAGGGATTTAGGGGTGATTATTTCTGATGGCTTAAAGGAGCACTATAGGGTCAGGAACACAAACATGTATTCCTGACTCTATAGGGTTAAAACCACCATCTAACCTCCCTGGGACCCTCATGCCTCTAAAAATAAAGTAAAATCTTACTTGAATTCAAGCCTGCAGCTGCATAGTTTGTCCATGTTCCCTTAGACCTGCCCACTGCCTGCTGAGATCATCAGAAGTGGTAGCCTGATCCAATCACAGTGCTTCCCCATAGGATTGGCTGAGACTGACAAGGAGGCAGATCAGGGGCAGAGCCAGCACAATTCAAACACAGCCCTGGCCAATCAGCATCTCCTCATAGAGATGAATTGCATCAATGAATCTCTATGAGGAAAGTTCAGTGTCTGCATGCAGAGGGAGGAGACAGTGAATGTTTGGATGCATTTTAGGCAGCCATGACCCAGGAAGGATCTCTAACAGCCATCTGAGGAGTGGCCAGTGAAGTTATCACTAGGCTGTAATGTAAACACGGCATTTTCTCTGAAAAGACAGTGTTTACAGCAAAAAGCCTGAAGGTAATGATTCTACTCACCTGAACAAATTCAATAAGCTGTAGTTGTTCTGGTGACTATAGTGTCCCTTTAACCCCTTAAGGACCAAACTTCTGGAATAAAAGGGAATCATGACATGTCACACATGTCATGTGTCCTTAAGGGGTTAAAGGTAGGCAGACAATGTAACAGAGCAGCAGGAAATGCTAGCAGAATGCTTGGTTGTATAGGGAGAGGTTTTAGCAGTAGAAAGAGAGAAGTGCTCATGCCATTGTACAGAACACTGGTGACCTCACTTGGAGTATTGTACACAGTACTGGAGACCATATCTTCAGAAGGATATTGATACCTTAGAGAGGGTTCAGAGAAGGCCGGGCTACTAAACTGGTTCATGGATTGCAGGATAAGACTTACCAGGAAAGGTTAAAGGAACTTACCATGTATAGCTTGGAGGAAAGACAAGACAGGGGGGATATGATAGAAACATTTAAATACATAAAGGGATTCAACACAGTAAGGGAGGAGACTATTAAAAGAAGAAAAACTACCACAACAAGAGGACATAGTCTTAAATTATAGGGGCAAAAGTTTAAAAATAATATCAGGAAGTATTACTTTACTGAGAGGGTAGTGGATGCATGGAATAGGCTTCCAGCTGAAGTGGTAGAGGTTAACACAGTAAAGGAGTTTAAGCATGTGTGGGATAGGCATAAGGCTATCCTAACTATAAGAGAAGGCCAGGGACTAATGAAAGTATTTAGAAAATTGGGCAGACTAGATGGGCCGAATGCTTTTTATCTGCTGTCACATTTTATGTTTCTATAAGACTAGGTTAGGGCTAAAGTTAGGACATAGTTAGTATTAAGACTAGGTTAGGGCTTCAGTTAGGACATAGTTAGTATTAGGCCTAGATCAAGCAGTGGTCTGGTTTATTGACGGCTACCTGCCCGGTATTTATGCAGGTCTTCCACCTGGTGGACACTCCCCTAGGGGACCAGATGGAAGACTGGGACAAAAATGGTAAAATGACCAATCACAGGCATACAGGGTTAAAACACTCCCACAGTACATTACAATCCCTCCCCTCTATCCTGGAGATAATTGGGAAGTAATCCAATTATCTCCAAGGACAGAGGCAAAACTCCATTGAGCACGCTAGTAAAAAGACACAAAAATACATAATGTTGCAAATAATGAACAAAACATATACATTCTACCTATCCCCAGATAGCTTAGATCTGAGCGCACATTATTACCGAATGGCGCTCAGATCACATACATACAGTTCAATTGCCATGGAGCCAAAGTCTTTCACATAGTCTTTCGTTACACGAATAGGCTCCATGGCATGGCTATCTGGGGTGATGCTGTTCATACAGTTAAACTACCGAATGAACAGGCATTCGGTTAAATGACTGAATGCAGAAGCAAGGAGGCTGACGGCTCAGCGGTGTTCGTGCAAATAAGTGTCTGGTTCCAGTTCCATAGTTTGGGCGCTGAACACCGCTGGCCGTTCGGGACTTTAAAATGGCCCTGCCACGTGTTCGGCAAACGAACAAAGGCCACCCAGCATTCGTCAATTAAGCTGCGATTAACCGCAGCTTCAGGGAGGTCAATTGATGGCACACTCCAGCTCCCTGGTGGTCCGGTCATTTGTGCGTTTGTTCGTACATTGAATCTACCAAACACCTTGGCAGAAAGGAACGAACAAGCCTTTCTGCAGGGGAAAATACAAGGTTTACCATGGGGCCATAGTCCAGAGGCAACAGGCGGGCAACCAGGCTCCTCCAATGCAATGTGGTGAGATTGGTCTCGTCACAGTGATATATTGTGATATTAACAGAATACTACCACTAATCATACGTCCATACCTCATGCCTATTATTTCACACTAATTTTCGTCACTTTTCATTGATGTAATCTGGTCTGTACACACATGTCTAGGCTGATTATCAACTGGGAAGACCCATGAGCATTTCACCTTGGTTTAAATTCCTCAGGAAACGGAAGGGCCTTTCTCCGTGACAAAAGTGTCATCTTAGCACCAAAATGTGTGTAGCCATTTTTGATTCTTTAATAAAGTGATTTTGAGGTATTTTAATTTAATAACCTGATGATAAGTCACCTGCCTATTTGGTTACACTGTAGCTGACAGGAATTTTATAATTTTCCTAACAAGTAGTGTGATACTGTTCTAATACTGTGTAAATATATTACTCAAATAATAACTGTTAGGGCTGTTTTTATTTTCCTGGGAATCCGAACGGCTGTAGTCCGTACGTCCAATCAGCACACCACATCTACAGGCCTGGAGAATTGACTAAGACACAACACCACTGTGAGGTCCACATTCTGAGTTTATTGTTATTCAACATTAGATTATATAGGTATCTTATCACGTCACGTTACATCACATTATATAGACTTGGATAATTGTCAAAGAATACTCATTATCACAATATGTTATAGTTAAACGTGGCATTAATAAAAGTAGAAATGAGTTATAGAAGGTCAATGACAAGGGAGATGCAGTTTGGAAAAACTCCTTTTTAAAAAAAATATTAATATTATAAAGGAAAAATCTGGTAAAATTGGATTTAGACAAAAGGTTAAACAGTAAATATCAAAATGGAGGGTTAACACAGAATAGCAGATTGATTATATGATTTTATTCGATCAATAACTTTTTAATATATATTTGGAATTGATACATATCCAGTAGGTAGGAAAGTTCTAACGTTTTAAAGCTTTTTGTCTGATATTTTGTTTAGCATTATATTGCGGGTTAAGTGCTTGATATCACCCCATGTGCCTTGTATATACTTTATTTTTGTAGAATGTTATCATTTTACCGCATGCTAATGTGCTTGGCAAAATCTCTGATATATATAAATATATAGAATATATAGAAAAGAAAAGATAAATTAAGCTATACTTTTCTTTCCAACTGTAACATGCCTGGATTGAATGATTCTACTTCTTGTTGTGGTCTGTGCTGCCACCTGGTGTGCGTCTTAGCACTTTACAGGTTACATTACAATAATCGGAGATACAGCAAGCTCACTAGGTAGGTATACAGTGTGTGTACACTTATCAGCCACAACACTAAAACCACCTGCCTAATATCAGGTCTCGCTTGTGCTACTAAAACAGCTCTGTTGCATCGAGGCAAGACCTCTGAACGTGTCCTGTGTACCAACACATTAGCAGCAGATCCTTTAAGTTCTGCAAGTTGTGAGGTGGTGCCTCCATCGACCAGATGTGTTGTTCCAGCACATCCCTCCAAATGCTCAATCAGATTGAGATCTGGGGAATCTGGAGACAAAGGCAACACCTTGAACTCTTTATCACATTCCTCAAACCATTCCTGAACATTTTTTGCAGTGTGACAAAGAGACCACTGCCATCAGGGAATACCATTACCACAAAGGGGTTGTACGTGGTCTGCCACAATCTGTACAAAAACACACTACCCACACACTATACCTCCCATATACACACACTACTTCTCCTGCGCTTACACACGACACACTATACCCCATATATACACACTACTTCTCCTGCACTTACACACAAACACACTACACACACTTTACCCCCTATATACACACTACACCCGTGCACTTACACACACACACACTCTTTCTATAACCCCTATATACACACACACAATACCCCCTGCACTTACACGCACATATTACTTACACTCTACACCCCCTGCTTATACTTACAAACACACATACAGTCTAAACACTCCTATATACTCACTACAGCCCTCGCACTTATACTCACAAACACTACACTAACGCTATACCATCTATAAACACACACTACACCCCATGCACACACACGCACTTTATACCCCTATATACACATAACATACTACACACACTCTATACCCCCTATAAACACACTATACCCCCTATGCACTCATACAAACACTACCCTTATAGGCATACACTATACCACTACACACACATTATACCTGTGTACACACATTACCCCTATTCACACTGTACACCCCCTATGCACACACTATACCACTATACCCTCTATACACACATTCCCACAACTATATACTAACACTCTTATACGCATAAACACACAATGCAACCCCCTGCAGCCACTAGATACACACACACAGTACAGCCCATACATATATAGTATATATGTATACAGTGTATGTATATTTTATTAATATACCGCTAACAGGTGTAGTCAGCACTTTACAGGTTGCATTACAGTAGAGGGAGGTACAGTAATTGCAGTAGGTATACAGTGTATGTATATTATATTTATATAGAGCTAACAGGTGTAGTCAGCACTTTACAGGTTACAGTAGAGGGAGGTACAGTAAGTGCAATAGGTATACAGTGTATGTATATTTTATTTATATAGCGCTAACAGGTGTACTCAGCACTTTACAGGGTACATTACAGTAGGGGGAGGTACAGTAAGTGCAGTAGGTGTACTTTTCTTGTCAGTTCTGGTGTGCAGCTTTTGCACATTCCCACTATGCTCTATATGGTGTAGCTAGATATGTTATAATAGCGAGTCCTGTCTGGTCCATATGTCTGACACCCCTACATTCTGTTTTTTTTGTTTTTAAGTGGAGGGTGTGTTTATTTTACGTTTTATTGTGATTTGTCTCAGAGGGCCGCTATTACTAACTGTGTGATATTGTCTACAGAGGATGCAAATAGTATAAACATGCAGAACACTGCAAAAACTGACTGCAGCTTGTATTGTTTAAAAGGACCGTATTTCTCTATGATGCAGTGTCCGAGTCCCACTTGTGAGACAGTTCAATAATGACATTGCAGGACTAATGGACTTTGCATGAGGACATCCAGAGTCCATAAAATCCCCATATAGGAAACCATTGAAGCTTTCCAATGGGGAGGGCATAGTGCGCCTGTGGCGCTCACCATTAGCCCCCGTCGGAGGAGGCGAAGCACCAACCCAGCACCGAGGGGCATCAGCGCTGGAATGGGGGAAGTCATTACAGGTTTTTAAGCCTTTATGAGACGCGGGTGGGGGAACCAGATAGCTCTATAGGGTTAGGAATACAGGTTTTTAAAGAGGACTTTTCATGACTTGACTGTGGCTTGTTGTGACTTTAAAACACATACAGGGTTATCACTAATGTGAGAATTCAAAGTGAAATTCCTACTTGAGTAAATAACCCCAATAATGTTTAATTTATACACTGTGCTGGCTAAATAGTCTATGTATCAATTAAAGGGTTTTTTTTTTTGTTTTTTTATCTTTTTTCCTGGACTGCTATGCAGTTGGTTGGTAACACTGAAACCTTTACCTCTAGGGCTGGTGAAGGGGCAGCATCTCTGGACTCCTGTCATGCACTTCCACTAATGTGTTGTGTTATTAGGGTGCAGAGAGGTAACTCCACCTGGTGCCATGCTGTATAAAGAATGATCTGTTGACAACCATCTCTCATTTTTGTTATATGTCTCTCCTGAGGCCTGCTCCATTGTGTCTCCCTTGTGAACCCTCTTTGTGTCTCCTTCTGGGGGTTCATCCCCAACGTGCATCTCTCCGGAGTCTCCATGCATCTCTCCTAACCAACCTTGCTTGTCTCTCCTGTCTTCCCCTGTCTGTCTCTCTGATCCCCATAGGCCCATGCCATAATGCACCTAGAACGTAAATTGGTACAGAATCCATTTAACCCCTGTGTGACATGTCATGATTCCCTTTTATTCCAGAAGTTTGGTCCTTACAATGTGTGGTGAGATCAAATGTGTGAATTACTCTCCTGGGAGTCGGATTACCACTCTATTACTTATTCTGTTGGTTAGATGGAGTGTTGTGAATGCTCCTAAAATAAAGTCATTGAAAAACTCTCAACAGGGAAAGGAAAATACTTGTTGCCCTGGAGACCAAATTGCTGTAATACAATCTAAAGGCAGATCTGCAAATTTGCGGTTATAGAGACCGTTACATTGTATAACTACTGGAGGGTCCAAGTATAATGAAATAATGTATTGAACAGTCTGGCAGTCTGAAATATAAACCAATTATATATTTGCGGTTAATTTGTTTAACATTAAATCAGCCAAGATATCCAACTAGGGGCTAATTCAAAAGGCAGAGCTAGAAATCTTTCTTTCTAGATGTTATAAACCCCACTTGCTATCTACAGATCAGATGAAAGATACGTTCACACCTCAGTGTCGCCATAACGCGTACCAAAGGAATCTACCTGCTTTAAGCTGTAAAAAGAAATATTCATATACACAAGATATCCACTGAAAATAGTCTTAGCAGACGGCAGATCAAATTACTAAGAGGCGACAAACCTCACCACCTTTTCAACTCCCAGGGATATTAACTTAGACTAAGAATTGTAATTCTTACCATACACGGTTTAATTGTTCTCGTGACTTAATACAGTGTATTTTGACATAATTGGTGGGATACCTTCCATCTCCTTTAAGGGACCATTGAAAAGCCTCTGCAAGTTCCTCTTCCCAATCTGTCAATGCAGCTCCGGGCTCAGAGCAGCCGGCATAGGGAGTGTACGTTTTTGTAATAAAAACACGAATGCGGTTATTTATGGACATATGAAAGCAGACATTCTCACCTTTGGTAGACCTTCGCTCAATTTCAGAATAGTAGCAACTCATTCCATCAATCACCAGATTGGATGCTGCAACTCATACCCTTCCTCCGTCCCAAACTTTCTGGCATAAGGAGGATAGAGTAATGGAAGGCCTTTAGAATCTGTCATAATGGGTTAGAAATGCATGGGCACCGGCATAAATACAGCTTACATTGACATAGGATGACGAGAGGATACAGGGAACTGCCATAAAGCAGGGGGAAGATAATGGAACCATCTTACAATAAACAGCTTTAAAGTATGAGGGTGACAGGATCCTAGTGCATACAGCAGCTCAAACAAACCAAAGTCTCCATGTTCCGGGCCAATAAAAGGTGTGTCTGCTGCTGGAAGGAGGGAGTAGGGCTTTTCATAAATTCTCAGATGTTAATGGATAGGCAATAAATAGAAAAAGGAGCACAACAAAATATAGTGCGGTATATTTCTGATATGAGGGTAGAAAAAAAAAAAAAGGAAAAAGAAATGAACTTAGAGCGTGTAGAGCTTAAGGTACCTCTATTAAAATATGCCTGGGCGGTACAATCCCCACCTGAGGGTTACTGTTGACTTATTTTAATCCAATAGCAAGTGCTTAGTGTATAGAGCCTCTAACTGGTTCACAGAGAACAGCCTGGAGTGGTATAGGAGCATAAACTTAGAGGAAGCCCGTGTCCGATACCATCAGTTCTACCGCGCAAGCTCACTGCCTAAACACTATCTATAACTCTTGAACCCCCTAAATATAGTAAAAACGTTTACTCCAGCCTGCTGGTACTGGCTCTGCCCCTGATCTGGACTGGCGGGGGATATCCCGGTCCCCACTGGACATTCTGAGGCTATCAGCACTGCTCCTACCACAAATAGACACCCGGCGGAACGTCAAGCCACAAGATGGCGACTACCTCCCTGCTGAACACGCAGCATCTGTGCCTACCTCAAGCGGCCCCCTGGAATCTTCACTGCAACGCCTGGATGATATCTTCCAGAGGTTCTGGCAAAAAATATTTGAGCGCGAGCAGGCTGCCCTGGCAGAGCGGGAAATCGCTCCTGAGAGCAGTGAGCAGCCGGAGCGGAGCAGGCTTCCTTCAAGCAAAGTGCACAAGCAAGTGCATATCCACTCATAGTTGCATAGCTGAAAAAAAACTTGCGTCCATCAAGTTCAGCCTACCTCACATTTGTTTTTTGCGGTTGATCCAAAAGAAGGCAAAAAAAACCCAGTTTGAAGCACCATTTTGCAACAAGCTAGGAAAAAAATTCCTTCTTGACCCCAGAATGGCAGTCAGATTTATCCTTGGATCAAGCAGTTATTACCCTACATTGAAAGATTATATCCTTGAATATTCTGTTCTTGCAAGTATGCATCTAGTAGCCGTTTGAACATCTGTATGGACTCTGATAAAACCACTTCCTCAGGCAGAGAATTCCACATTCTGATTGTTCTTACAGTAAAAAAAAACCTTTCCTTTGCCTTAGACGAAATCTTCTTTCTTCCAGTCTAAACGCATGGCCTCGTGTCCTATGTAAAGTCTGGTTTGTGAATAGATTTCCACACAATGGTTTGTATTGGCCCCGAATATATTTGTATAATGTTATCATATCCCCTCTCAGGCGACGTTTTTCTAAACTAAATAGGTTTAAATTTGTTAACTTTCTTCATAGCCGATATGTTCCATTCCTTTTATTAATTTTGTAGCCCGCCTCTGCACTTTTTCTAGTGCCATAATATCCTTCTTTAGAACAGGTGCCCAAAATTGCACAGCATATTCAATATGGGGTCTTACCAGTGATTTATAAAGAGGCAAAATTATATTCTTGTCCCGAGAATGAATGCCCTTTTTCATGCATGACAATACCTTACTGGCCTTGGCCACTGCTGATTGACATTGCACATTGTTGCATAGTTTGTTGTCTATAACAATTCCCAAGTCCTTTCCATGTGTTGTTATCCCTAATTTGCTTCCATTAAGGGTATACGTTGCTTGTGTATTCTTTATGCCGAAGTGCATAACGTTGCATTTTTCAACATTAAATTTCATCTGCCATTTGAGTGCCCAGTCCCTCATTCTATCTAAATCCCTCTGCAGCAAAATAATATCTTGCTCACATTGTATTGTTTTACAAAGTTTTGTGTCATCTGCAAACACTGAAACATGACTTTCAATGCGGTCTTCAAGATCATTTATAAACATGTTAAATAGAAGGGGTCCCAGAACAGACCCCTGAGGGACACCACTTGCCACCTCTGTCCAGCTTGAAAATTTACCATTAATGACAACTCTTTGTACTCTGTTTTTAAGCCAATGTTCTACCCAAGAACAAGCATTTTCATCTAGACCGATTTCCTTGAGTTTGAACACTAATCTATTGTGTGGAACTGTATCAAATGCCTTGGCAAAATCCAAATAGATCACATCCACGGCAACACCCTGATCTATACTTCTACTTACTTCTTCGTAGAACGCAATCAAGTTAGTTTGACATGACCTGTGCTTCATAAAACCGTGCTGATTTTTGCTGATAACCATGTTCTTCTCAAGGAATTCTTGAATATTATCCCTTAATAACCTTTCAAATATTTTACCAGCCACAGAAGTTAAGCTCACAGGTCTATAATTTCCAGGCAAGGATTTTGAACCCTCATCTACTCGCCCATCCGGGCCAAGAGCCCCTTAAGGCACTGCTGAAGTGGAGGATCAACCGCCGAAAATGGCGCACCTCATCCAGGCCCCCTGCTTACTCTGGGAAAAGGAATGCCCTGGTACCAGTGACTACCAGAGTCAATGAAACTGCGAAGAAAGCGCTCGTTCGGACCTGGGGCGGAAGGGGAGCCCAGAAACTATACACTGCTGCTACCACCTACCTGAACTCTCATGCACAGGCTCCACACCTGCCACTGGTGGGGATTGGATGTTCCAGACATCGGAATTGCAGCTTGAGCTCCACTCCCAAGATGATGGTTACTGCGACATCTGATCCCTGACTGGTGTTCAATCTTGCCTCTCGACTGGCCCTTGTGTAAATATGTTATTGTTTTTTAAGTCATTCACACTCTCTTCCCCACCTACCCATAACTCAAGGGGGATGTTTAAAGCTCTAACGTTGGGATGCCCCGGAGGCCAGTTGTCCCATAACACTATCTGATAATCCACAGTTTATATCAAATTTTATTTCTGCCTTGGTATCTTCCTGCATCGTGCCACTACTTCATACCACTCATGATTATCTGATCCTATCTAAATACCTTAGCCTGATATAATTCGCTGTGTATGCTTTAACTACTAAAACTCGTGGATAGGATCTCTCATCTTGCTTAGTGGTATACGCAGGAACAGAGTTTACCTTACTCCACATGTTTTATTAACTTTACCTTTACAAACGTGTGCCAATCCTGACAAGCAATTTACTGTATAAACTTTTCGTGTAACCCTTGCATGTTAACAAAAAAA